CAGGAAGCTGGCTGTGTGCTGGTCTTGCTCAACAATCAGAGCTTCTTTCCAAAGGGGACTAATGGGTCAGCCCCAGTAGGTTGATTGCCTGGCCTTCTCTTCTTTTTGCCTCATTTAATCATTGCCTGCTGCTCCTGGCTCTTTGTTGATGGAAAGAACCACCTTTCTACCACCCTGTTTCCTGGTGTGACTTTAGGTTTAGGGTAATGGTTCTACTACCACTGAAAGGGAAGGTTACTGGTCTCCTCCAGGGCAAGCAAATGACTTCTAGGGAAATTAGTGCTTTGGGACTCAGTACCTTCCCAGGCCTTTTTAGGGGCAGGTAGCATGTGAATTATGTGTACTTTAATCAGTTGAGTATAGCTGTTAGTGTAGCCTTCAGAGTTTGCATATTAAATTAATAGTGCTTTTGTGGGCATCTTGCCTTTTTAAATCACAAGGGTGATTTCCTGCTCATTAAATCACTTTGCTTGTTATGCCATTTAACTATAGAGTTAAGGAAACTAATTATACAACTTGCATTATGTTAGTAGTTTAAAATATCTTTTAAAAATGGTACCAAACCTATCGTAATCCACTCCAAAATTTTTTGGAGGTAGTGATTTCTATTTAAATTAGTTTATTTGTTATGGCACTGGGAATGGGTTCCTGAGGCTTCGGCTGTCAGCAGGCACATCACTACTAGGCTTCATCGCCAGTCCTACAAGCAGTGCTGTGTAACTTGGCATCTTAAAACTAGTTCTTCATTCCCCCAAGTATTTGACAAATATATGTCATTACGTGTATAATTTACTGTAATGCATTTTGAAGAAAGATCTTTGTGTCACTTCGTGTCCCTGAGGGAATGCTGCCTGAGTTCTCTTGGGGTCGGCCCTTTGTGCCTACAGTGGTCGGAAGTTCTTTGCTGATCACTGCAGGATATTTTACTTGTGTTTGTGCCCCTGATCTTCCAGTGTCTTGAGATTTTCCTAGTAGTGTGGTAAAAGTGCTCAAAATTTGTAGCAATGATTTACTTTAATCTTGTTGACATTATCACTGTAAAATTCAAGTGCCTTCAATGTATAATATTAAATATATACTTATAAAATTTTTATTTTTTTTAATGCAGTGATAAGTAGGGACCAGTTATTTTCGTGAAGTGAAAAATCTAAGTTTGAAGCTTTAAGTGGAAAACAAAACAAAAAACCCACTCCATAGTTGGAGAAATGGTTAGTAGGAATTATTTTTGCCTTTATATCATGTTAAATGGAAGCATATATGGCACGGTACCAGCATAAAATCAAAGTTGACTATTAAATGCAGAAGAAACAATAGAGGTTTATGTACACAGGGGACACTTGTCCCCGTCTCACTTGACAACTTGACACACCTGGGAAGAGGGACCTCAACTGAGCAGTTTCCTCCCTCTGACTGGCCTGTGTGCATGTCTGTGGGGCATTTTCTTAATTGCTAATTGAAGTAGGAGGGCTCAGCCCACTGTGGGGGTGCTACCCTAGACAGTTGTGCCTGGGCTGTGTGGGAACTGTAGCTGAGCCAGCCCCACAGCAGTGTCTGCTGGCTTCCATGGTCTCTCTGTCTCAGTTCCTGCTCCAAGTCACTGCCTTGGCTTCTCCACGCTCGACTGTAACTTGTAAGATGAAATATAACTCCTCCCCACATTGGTTTTAGTGTTTTATCAAAATGGAAACCAAACTAGGACAATACTCTTGTTCAAAGTGTTCTTATTTCTGGCCTAATTTTAGGAAAGTCAGAATATTAAACATTAAATTAAAATCATCACTTAGGTTATTTGTTTTTTTTTTTTTTTTTTCCCCTTCAGTAAAAAATTTCTTTCTTTTTTGAAATAGAGTCCTGCTGTATGGCTTAGGCTGTCCTGGAACTAACTGTGTAGCACAGACCATATATGACTTCATGAATACAAACCTCCTGCCCCAACCTCCTCAATGTGGGGATTATAGATATGAGCCACCATACCCAGTTCTCTGCATAATTCCTCGTTGACAGTTATTGTAGAGCAATTTGCTTTGTGTTATGCTTTTATAAATGTCATTGAATATTCAGCTTGTTGGAGTTTAAAAGGATGGAGGCCAGGCGTGGTGGTACACGCCTTTAACCCCAGCACTCGGGAGGCAGAGAGACAGATCTGTGTGAGTTCAAGGCCAGCCTGGTCTACATAGTGA